TCTGCAGCAGAGAGACTGGTACTAAACTAAACCGTCTGAGGAGGCAGCAGTGGGAACAATAGATCGTAATGTATGACGGCAAATTATGGTGGTGTCTTGGTTTTGACCTGGCATCACATTCGGTTTCAGTTCTTACTAAATTTACACTACTTACTTACTAACTTTATCAGTAGAACAACAAGGAAGATGCAAAGAAAGAGACAGAGGACCGGAATCAATCTAAAACCTAAGACGACTTAAAAACAAAATAGGTTATCTCGCTTTTTAGATACAGATAGTTTATTTACGATTCATACTAAAAAGTAAACTATTATTATTATTTTTTCAGATGCTGAATAAGCAGGCAAATTCAACAGTGTTTTTAAAATGTGTTTTTTGAAAGGAGCAGTTATTGTTGGCTTTTTAGAGACGTAATCAGAATTAGAATCATTTTTATTGTCATGTAAATAACAGGAAGTCACATATAAGGAAAGTCAAAAGTAGAGAATGAAATAAGGCAAAATAAAAAATCAACACATTTCTGAAATATAAAACTGAAATTGATTATTAGAATTATTACTATATACAAGTGCATTCTGTAAAATCCCACTTCCAGCTGAAATATGTCTGTTTATTCAGCATTCTCATTTTCTTACTATATTTTAACATTTTAACATGTTTTCTCACTTCCTGTCTTTTTGCTCGTGCCCTGAGCGATTCTTTTTATGCCAAATGTACTTCTCCATTCTGAGATTAATAGAGTTATCTTATCTTAAATGTCAAAACAAAAGCACTTTCTGTTTGTGAAGAGTCAAAATAATACAAATAAAACATAATATCTGTTCTGTCCGTATGTAAATGCACTGTGGTCTTATCCAGGACTGAGGCTGTAGACCCAGGACTGAGGCTGTAGACCCCGGACTGAGGCTGTAGACCCCGGACTGAGGCTGTAGACCCAGGACTGAGGCTGTAGACCCCGGACTGAGGCTGTAGACCCCGGACTGAGGCTGTAGACCCAGGACTGAGGCTGTAGATCCAGGACTCAGGCTGTGGATCCAGGACTCAGGCTGTGGATCCAGGACTCAAGCTGTAGATCCAGGACTCAAGCTGTAGATCCAGGACTCAGGCTGTAGATCCAGGACTGAGGCTGTAGACCCAGGACTGAGGCTGTAGACTCAGGACTGAGGCTGTAGATCCAGGACTGAGGCTGTAGACCCAGGACTGAGGCTGTAGATCCATGACTGAGGCTGTAGACTCAGGACTGAGGCTGTGGATCCAGGACTCAAGCTGTAGATCCAGGACTGAGGCTGTAGACCCAGGACTGAGGCTGTAGACCCAGGACTGAGACTGTAGATCCAGGACTGAGGCTGTAGATCCAGGACTCAAGCTGTAGATCCAGGACTGAGGCTGTAGATCCAGGACTGAGGCTGTAGACCCAGGACTGAGGCTGTAGACTCAGGACTGAGGCTGTGGATCCAGGACTCAAGCTGTAGATCCAGGACTGAGGCTGTAGACCCAGGACTGAGGCTGTGGATCCAGGCCTCAAGCTGTAGATCCAGGACTCAAGCTGTAGATCCAGGACTCAAGCTGTAGATCCAGGACTGAGGCTGTAGATCCAGGACTGAGGCTGTAGATCCAGGACTGAGGCTGTAGATCCAGGACTGAGGCTGTAGACCCAGGACTGAGGCTGTAGACCCAGGACTGAGGCTGTAGACCCAGGACTGAGGCTGTAGATCCAGGACTCAGGCTGTAGATCCAGGACTGAGGCTATAGACCCAGGACTGAGGCTATAGATCCAGGACTGAGACTGTAGATCCAGGACTCAGGCTGTAGATCCAGGACTGAGGCTGTAGATCCAGGACTGAGGCTGTAGACCCAGGACTGAGGCTGTAGACCCAGGACTGAGGCTGTTGTGATGGCAATCTGCCTGTGACTCGGGGACGCCAGCTCACTCCCCCTGCTGCTCTATCCAGCTAACCTGCAGGAAGGAGCCAGTCCTTCCCGCACCGCCAGACAATGATGCAAATCACTGTCTCACCCCTGTCCCTTTCGCATCTTGCATCTGTATGCCTGCCTCTCTACATCCTGCATGACCATTGTCTGTCTGTTTGCACCTCCATGCCACTGTCTGATTGCCTCACCACGGGCATGGCGCCTACGCTCCCTATGCGCCTCCTGTACTGGTGGCCCCCTCCCATCTGTTGTGGGCGTGACTGTCTTTCATGTGTATCTATGTAAACAGGAACCTGAGCTCTGCGCGCCAGAGCTGGTGTATGCTGCCTTTTGTATATGTTAGCTCTCCGCACGTGTGTACAATAAACTTACGCTCCTGAATTAAGACAAAGACCTTTGAGCTTCTTCCTTGCTTTGGATAGAAACTTCTATAACACTGTGGATCCAGGACTCAAGCTGTAGATCCAGGACTGAGGCTGTAGACCCAGGACTGAGGCTGTAGACCCAGGACTGAGACTGTAGATCCAGGACTGAGGCTGTAGATCCAGGACTCAAGCTGTAGATCCAGGACTGAGGCTGTAGATCCAGGACTGAGGCTGTAGACCCAGGACTGAGGCTGTAGACTCAGGACTGAGGCTGTGGATCCAGGACTCAAGCTGTAGATCCAGGACTGAGGCTGTAGACCCAGGACTGAGGCTGTGGATCCAGGCCTCAAGCTGTAGATCCAGGACTCAAGCTGTAGATCCAGGACTCAAGCTGTAGATCCAGGACTGAGGCTGTAGATCCAGGACTGAGACTGTAGACCCAGGACTGAGGCTGTAGACCCAGGACTGAGGCTGTAGACCCAGGACTGAGGCTGTAGATCCAGGACTGAGGCTGTAGATCCAGGACTGAGGCTGTAGATCCAGGACTGAGGCTGTAGACCCAGGACTGAGGCTGTAGATCCAGGACTGAGGCTGTAGACCCAGGACTGAGGCTGTAGACCCAGGACTGAGGCTGTAGATCCAGGACTCAGGCTGTAGATCCAGGACTGAGGCTATAGACCCAGGACTGAGGCTATAGATCCAGGACTGAGACTGTAGATCCAGGACTCAGGCTGTAGATCCAGGACTGAGGCTGTAGATCCAGGACTGAGGCTGTAGACCCAGGACTGAGGCTGTAGATCCAGGACTGAGGCTGTAGATCCAGGACTGAGACTGTAGACCCAGGACTGAGGCTGTAGACCCAGGACTGAGGCTGTAGATCCAGGACTGAGACTGTAGACCCAGGACTGAGGCTGTAGATCCAGGACTGAGGCTGTAGACCCAGGACTGAGGCTGTAGACCCAGGACTGAGGCTGTAGACCCAGGACTGAGGCTGTAGACCCAGGACTGAGGCTGTAGATCCAGGACTGAGGCTGTAGATCCAGGACTGAGGCTGTAGACCCAGGACTGAGGCTGTAGACCCAGGACTGAGGCTGTAGACCCAGGACTGAGGCTGTAGACCCAGGACTGAGGCTGTAGATCCAGGACTGAGGCTGTAGACCCAGGACTGAGGCTGTAGACCCAGGACTCAGGCTGTAGATCCAGGACTGAGGCTGTAGACCCAGGACTGAGGCTGTGGATCCAGGACTGAGGCTGTGGATCCAGGACTGAGGCAGTAGAATGAGGACCAGGGCCATGCGGTGCAGCCAGCTTATCTACTCACAAAAGTGGACGCAGTGGATATTTAGAAATGATATTAATGCATCTATAAAATACTCTGAAGTGAAGGACAATGGTTCTAGAACTGCTTTGTTAGAATGAGCTCGTTACAGACTCCCGCTACATGTCGTCTGCACATAATAATGAATATGTTTTAATCAAACAGCTGTAGTTTTATGGAGAGAAAAAAATGACACTCCAGGGACCGGAACCATCTGTGAAACATGTTCGTGTTGTGTTTTTATTAAAGGAAAAGCAGATCTTAATTTGATCAATACATTATTTATTTAAAACGTGTGTGTATATTATCAACATAAAACTACGGGTATCCAAATAAACAGAATTTCAAGGTTTGAAACAGGATTGGAGCAGATGCTGATTTGGCTACAGCCTCTTCAACACATACAACATAACACACACACAGAGAGAGACACACACACACACACACACACACACAGACACACACATAGACGCAGACACACACACACACAGACACACACATAGACGCAGACACACACACACAGACACACACATAGACGCACACACACACACAGACAGAGACACAGACACACACACACACACACATGCAGACACACACATAGACGCAGACACACACACACACACACACAGACACACACATGCAGACACACACATAGACACAGACACACACACACACACACACACACAGACACACACATAGACGCAGACACACACACACACACACACACACACACACACACACAGAGACACACACACACACAGACACATACACACAGAGAGAGACACACACACACAGACACACACGCAGACACACACACACACATAGACACACACACACAGAGACACACACACACAGACACATAGACACACACACACAGACACACACACAGACACACACACACAGACACACACACACAGACACAGACACACACACACACACACACACACACACACACACACACACACACACACACACACACACACAGACATACAGTAGGTCCCATTCCGTTTTCCCACCAGGTGGCACTTGTGAGCAGGGTTACATTGGCCAGTCTCTGGAATAACCCGCAGACATTAAAACTACTGCACACTGAGAAAAGTGTTGCAAGCGCAACTTTGAACCTAAGTACTTGTATTTGCAATTTCGGACTTAAAATTTATTCTTATGGTTTTAATATTAGAAAAATAATTTCCATTTACTAAAACAAAAACAATATACCCACAAATACGTTTTGTGTGTGTATTTAACTAAATTTTGAAAAAATATTGTTGGCAGTGCAGTGCTTCTTAAATCTGACGCTATCAATAAGTGTTCAGACAAAGTAATTTCTACTGGGCGGGAGTTTGCTTCCGGTTCGGACCGTTTCCGCGAGCTTGTTGTTGGTGATGGGCGCTGAGCCAGCCTTGGACACGGTCGTGTGGTTTCCCGTGAGATCCAACTCAAAGTAAGATTTTTTAAATATATGGTGCTTTCTCTGTAAGGTTTGTCGCGTATTTGATCAAATATATTACAATCTGTGGTCAAATCGTCGTTTTATTTTCTTGGCAGTTAGTGTCCAAAATTACTTCATGTTAACTGTCTACTCTAGCCCCAAACATGTTGTTAGCATAAAACTGTGCCAGTATAATGGTCCTACAATTTCGTTGTTTAGCAAAGTGATTTGTGTTAAGACTCGTAACATTACCAACTACCCCTTAAATGTTCTGAACCATAATAACAGGCGTAGTTTTCGCAGTTTGGAGCTGCTAGCTTCTAGCTAGCTGTTGCTAACGGTACGCAGCTAACATAAGTAATACATAAGTAACCAAAGTCGCTACTGTCCTGCTCTGTCTTGTTGCCGGAGGTGCAAGTGGAAAATACAGTTGGCAACAGAAGCCACGTGACATTTATTAATCTTCTATTATTTTCTACCCTTGGGGACAGTTAATTTCCCCGCAGAAGTCCCTAGTTACATTAGCTCAGCGGAGCGACTCTCAAGGAGGAGACAGGTGCAGAGCATGGTGCGGAGGCAGAAAACATGTTTATTGCTATCTGAGATCGCTCTGATTTCCTCGCGGTCAGAAAGTAGCTTGTTTCAGCAGAAAACTAACGTTAAGTTAACAGCTACTGCATGTTGTTAATGTTATGACCCGTCCGCATCAGCATCACTGTATTATATCAAGGCCTGTCTGTTTTAGCCAATGTGCAGCTATATGGTTAGTTATGATAAGTTCAAATACATTCAGAAATCTGCAGCACATTTAAAAAACCCAAACAAAGTATAAGTGATACATTATAAACATGCATTTTTAAAAGAACATACTGAGGGTGACTGCTATAGCCTATTGCAGTCACAAAATTAGAGTGGAAATGTTAAAAATCTAATGTGACTTACATTCGCATTTCATATGAACAACATTTTGGCATGTTAATTTTGAAATAAACGATATTTTGCTGGACAAGTAGGTTTTGTTTCCGGGCAAGTAAAAAATACCTGCCACTTCAAGTACCTCAAAGCACTTAATGTCAAGTCCTGACAAGGTAATACATTCAGCTAAAGACAGGTACATGTTGTGGTATAGCATGTTTTTTGTGGAATCACGTGTAGTAACGCAAAATGCACAAAGCACTTTGTTTGTACTAATCTAATGCATTTTTTATATGTAAAAAGCAGCACCGCCTGTTTAAATGCTTATATTTGTCCAATGAAGAGTATTTTTAAGCATGTTTATTAATTTTATTTTATTTTATTTTAGATTTTTCCTTTCACTGCTGCCAATTGATGGAGGAAAGCTACAGCAGGAGGTAAGTGTGATACAAAAAGAACTGTTAATAAATTAAGTGAATGTAATGTACTCGCTAGGGATGCAATAGTTTTTTGGGGGGGGGGCATTATACATTATACATTACACTCACCGCAAGATTTGCGGTGAGTCCTTGGCAACAAGAGAGGAGATTTTCCATCATTTGTCATTATATACGTTTTTATATCTAAATGAACACAATCAGAAATATGAAAACATATTCAAGATAAGAAGTGCTGAATACTTCCTAATTCGTGGTGTTTTTTATTTCTATGTTGTTTCGTAGGATCCAACCGCTGCTATAGCAAAGAGGAGGGAAGTCGTAATCCGAGGCCTAATTGAATACATGGGGGAGAAGCCAGGAGACTTGATTTCAGATCTACAGGTAAAATTTCCAATCTTTTCTTTTTCAGGGTATAAAAAAAGTACCGTACCTTATGCTGATATGTCTATCATTAAGAGTAGTAGTATCACCAAATCCTCTTCATCCTCTGCATATGCTAAAAGTCAGCATATGCAGATTATTTAAAAAACATTTTGGTCTCATTTGACCATAGAATAATCTACAATCATGTAGAAAAGGTTAAATCATCTACTGGACTGGGTTTTGGTAAAGTTGAGGATGTTTCGCTTTTAGTGACACAAGCTTCTTCAGAGCTCTTAAAGTCATAAAAGAACACTTACCCAAACTGGACTAAAAACTAAAAAGACCCAGGTTCCTTCCAGAAGGAGAGAACCAAAACTGCCAAAAATGTCTATTCAAATTGTTTTCAATATCACTCAACTTTACCAAAACCCAGTCCTGGCGATGATTTAACCTTTTTATAAGATGGACACTCCCTGGATGAATGAGAGCCTTCACAAACATCTGACCATATGACATTCCCCCAGCCCTCTGGATGGAATGGTCACTGGAAAACTTCAGTTGGACATGAATGAACATGAGCTGGCTAAAGCAGCTGGACCTGTATGGTATGAATTAAAGGTGCACCGATCTGATCTGTCACCAATCATGATTGGTCGATCACGGCCTAATTTTTGTGATCGGTGATTGGTGAAATGCGCCGATCAGAGGGGCCGATCAAACGTAGATTTCAGACTTTCTTACAGTAGATAATCTGGTGAAAACTCCACAGTATAGCGCCGCTCTAAACCGAGTTTTAAATGTAATTCGTGGCTACAAAACCGCTCTGGATGAAATGCTCGGCTGTATCCCTCTGCGCATGTCGGCTCTCCTCTTTCCAGACTGCAGTGTAACTAAACAAAACAATGATGAAGCTTGAGCTAACCCGCTATCGCTATGCTTTAAGACAAAAACATGAGTTTGTGACAATAAAATATCAGCGTCTGGTACTTCTAATAGTAGGTAAAGGAGATGATTTGCCATGTACCATTATTTACATTTGCAACTACCGCATGACTTCACATGCGCGCTCCGTAAGTGATACCACAGGATATTTAACACAAAACTGTGCTATCTGAAACGCACGTGAAACTACAATCAGAGGCAGGGGTCATTGTCCTGTCTTATTTTGCTCTTTAGTACTCACTAAATGGCAGCTCGTCAAAAGGGAAAGTATGTGCGTATGTGTTTGGCACCTCATGTCGCCGTCTCCTTGTGGAAGTTCTTTTCTTTCTTCAAATATTGTCTAATGTTACTGTCAAACTAATTTAGGCAGAAATGTGAGAAATTCCACACAGTGTGCTCACTTTTTCTAAACATTAATTGAACAAACAATATATATTTGTACCGTCAAATAATTCCTGCAACATTATAACATACATAATGGCTGAATTTATGTGTTGTATCAAATATATTTAAGCTGTTACTGATGCATTTAGACACAAATTATGTAATTTAGTGACAAATCTCAAAATTAAACAGATATAATCGACTTGAAAATGTCTGCACAGCTCATCAGCCGTCAGTTTCTCTGAATAGGTTGCGTTCACGTTTTAGAATGTGATGATGGGCAGTTGTCAATACAACTCTATGGGAGAAATACAGTTTTTGTACGAACTCTCAAACAAAAATTGACAAATGTTTTTCCTCTTCAGTATTTGACAGTGATTAGATTTACTAACCCACTTTATTATTTGTATGGCTGAAAGTCCTTTCTACTGACCAACATCACGCTCATCATTTCAAAAATTGTCATTGGTTTATAATATAAACCAATGACAATTTTTGAAATCATTATGTGCTGAAAGAGGAGTCAATGAACTTTGAGACAGTTTTTTTCATGTGGATTCTCCTAGTAATGATCTCAGTCAATACTAGGAGTACTACTACTCATTAACCAAAAACTAAGACAAAAAATATGCAGTTTGCCAGTTACCATAGTTAACGCCATGGAATTTTCACTTGCCCTCCACCTCAGTTTTAAATGAACACGTGAACACAACCTATTGCATTGACTATCAAAACATATCAATGTCTAATGTATTTTTCCCTCTCAAATAGAGTCTGGAGGAAACTGAAGACACTCGGCAGAATATCGCCTATCCAGTGAAGATTGTCAAAGTTGGTGACACGTACGAGATCAGCATTGATGGCCTTCAATGCATTACAGGTTTGGGCACTGTAGCCAAGGCCTCCTGTATTCTTGTTGGCGTTATATACGCATTGGACTTGAAATACCCACCCAAGCTTCAGCACACATTTGAAACTTTTCAGAGATTACTGATTGGTCTCAGTCCTGTGAAACCAAGAGCATCTGTGAGATACAGTTCACTCCTTAAAAGCTGTCTTAAAGTTTGAATTAAGGAATCCTCACTTTTGACCCTGTTCTAACATTGTTCAAATATAAAAAGTGTTTGAAAATTCAAAATGGTGAGTTATAGAGGCTTAGAAGCACAATGTATCAGTTTTGTGAACTGCAACTGCATGTTTGTGTGTTGCAGCAGACACCTTTGTAATTCCCTCTGCAGTAGATGTAGCCATTTTTTTGTTTTTTGTCCTAGGGATGTGGATTGTTCATTTGGGAATTATCTGTTCACTCACTATGATTTAGTAATTTTACACATTGTGTAGGACAGGGGTTCTGAAACTTTTAAAGGCAGGAAAACAAAATCAAAATTTGGATGAAAATATTCATTTCACATTGCCCTTTTTATTGGTAGTTGTTTCCTTTTTAAAATATTGTATATCACAAGGAATTGTTTTATATATATATATATATATATATGTATTTGATCAGACTCCCTCTAAATACAACTTCAGAATTTGAATGAGACGTAAACGACTAGAACATGATTAAAACCAAAGTCCTTCAAGAAAGTTTTTAGAAATCTTTAAAAAAAATGTCTACTCATCTTTTTACTTTTTTTTGTTGTTAAAACTGGAGTGGTAAGGAAAAATGGTACAGAGTTCTGTTGGAAGATAAATATTAATGTTTCAAAATGTAATATTGAATATATAGTTACATTTAAGTGTACATATTGAAAAATAAATGTTGACGTGGAAAAGCTTTAAAAGGTTTTATTTTTTCAGAACACAAGCATATTGGTATAAATGTTTATTTTAAAGTCATGTAATTTTTTATCAGAGCTGACATTCTTGAAAATGTTTTATGAGTTTTCTGAGTTTTTTGAAGTACCGAGTTTAAGTATTGAGTTATGATGTTATGTTGCTGTTTTATTGATCCTGATGGTCACACGTGAATGTGTGACCAGAGGGGGGGAATGTGAGATTTCATAACACTTTTAAGCAACTTTTGTTAAAGTTAAACTCATCATTCTATCAATGTGCAGAAGCCTGTACTTTTCCACTTCATGTTTTGTCTATCTGAAGGCCAAGCTACAAGTACAACGTGGAAGCTGCTGATTGGAGGTCTCCATGCCTCCGCTCTGTATAATACACTTGCATTCTGTTGTATCTGTTGTTCGTGCTGTCTCTACCATCGACAATAAAACATGTCTTCTGTCTGAATTTAAGACGCGATCCCAGACTTGGCACATCTTCTTCAGGTGGTGGAAGGATGCGGGCCTTGTCTGTAACATCTAGAGAACAGAAGACATTTGCATGTCAAATGAGGTGATGACCGAAACAACAGGGGGCTAGGGTGGCTTTGTTTATTCGTCTGGGGGAGGAAGGCCCAGTCCCAATACCCACACTGCACCCTACGCCCTCCTATGAAGTGTGCATTTGTTTGAAGTGCGCGCAAGGGTTTGAGTGCGCAGGTTACAAGTGTGCACAAAAGGTGGAATTGGGACAGTGCACACTGAGTGCAGGTTACGTCATCGACTCGTCAAGAGATGGTCATTTTCAGACCTAAACAGTATGTTTCATTCTGACTGAAGCACATGATAATGTTATAAAACAGTATGTTTCATTCTGACTGAAGCACATGATAATGTTATAAAACAGTATGTTTCATTCTGACTGAAGCTCATGATAATGTTATGTGATGTGAGAAATGCACTAAAGCCACTGGAGAAAAACTAACTATTCAGATCCTCCCCCTCCCCCTAAGATGGCAAAGTGAGGCTGAGTTTACACGGAGACAATGTGGCAGTAAAACGGTATAGTAGGATGTCGGTTGCTACCAACCGTTCATACGAAGACTGTGTTCCAGGTGAAAACGTAAGTGTTCAGATCCAGCCTGCAGAGTGGGACAACTCAGATACGCTGCACAGCAGGGAGCTCTTTCACACCCGCGAGAGGGGAAAAGGTATGAAATCCCCCTCTGCTCTGACCCCCGCCTCCGCGCTGCTCCCTGCACGTAAATTTGGACATGCGCAGTAGCGGAGAACAATCATCAACAATAATGGCGCCGCCCACACAAACTAGCTACGTGGACTTCCAGCGCGGCACAGAGGATAATTCTACTCCTTCGTTCGTCCAAACGAGACCACGCGAAGCTCTAGGTTCAGTTCCCATTTTCACAGCTGCTGTTAAAATGCAGAATGTTGTTGGTGCGTCCTGAGGGTCTGGCACAGGAAGTGAGTACACTGCCGAGAGGGGGCTGGGCACGGGGCTCGGGGTCGTGTGAGTGTTGTAACGTTTCTCTGCCCACTACTGGCCGGGCGCTAGAACTACATCGTTTTTCAACCTCATGTGAACGCAGAGAAATTTGCATTAGGAGCCAGGTCGTTTCTGTTAATAGCCTGGAAACGTCTGCGCAGCGTCTCAGTATAAACAGGGCCTGAAGCTCAGCCTGTGATAACGGCCCTATTTACATAACAAAGTTGGCCGTTCACAGGTGATTTCGTTTGTTAGCTAAAATCCTTGGGGTCATTTGACACCGTGGAGGGGATGATAGGTATAAGTGCCAAATGACACCTCCATGCGAGTGCTAGTGTTAAAGCTGCTTTCAATATCTTTTCAAATCTGTTTTCCTTTTCTCCATAGCATGTCTGTAACAAAAGTTCTCATAATCTGAAGTCGGCGTATTTACATGGTTTTATGAAACAGAATTCTGAGAAAAAACAGGTTTAAAGATCGACATTCCAAACATAATCATCACAGTCACATATAACATGTAAATTTTGAATTACTCTGTTATGGCACACTTGTTTTAGTCACTATGTTGTAGAAGATTAAAAAGATGTTACTTTGGCACCAATTAAACACACAACACTCATGAATTAGTCGAAAATCAAGAATGTATTGATTCTTTCAATATTCAATGGATTGAATTTTGACCTCTTCTTTTTCTTTCTCTTTATAATTTACTGAAAATTAGATATGTATATGTATGAGAGAGAGAGACGCGAGCAGAGAGAGAGAGAGCGTGAGCAGAGAGAGAGAGAGGTGAGCAGAGAGAGAGAGAGAGACGCGAGCAGAGAGAGAGAGAGGTGAGCAGAGAGAGAGAGACGCGAGCAGAGAGAGAGAGACGCGAGCAGAGAGAGAGAGCAGAGAGAGACGTGAGCAGAGAGAGAGAGCAGAGAGAGACGTGAGCAGAAAGAGAGAGACGTGAGCAGAGAGAGAGAGGCGTGAGCAGAGAGAGAGAGAGGTGAGCAGAGAGAGAGAGAGAGACGCGAGCAGAGAGAGACGTGAGCAGAGAGAGAGAGACGTGAGCAGAGAGAGAGAGCAGAGAGAGAGAGACGCGAGCAGAGAGAGAGAGCAGAGAGAGACGTGAGCAGAAAGAGAGAGACGTGAGCAGAGAGAGAGAGGCGTGAGCAGAGAGAGAGAGAGGTGAGCAGAGAGAGAGAGAGAGAGACGCGAGCAGAGAGAGAGAGAGGTGAGCAGAGAGAGAGAGACGCGAGCAGAGAGAGAGAGACGCGAGCAGAGAGAGAGAGATGCGAGCAGAGAGAGATAGATGCGAGCAGAGAGAGAGAGAGATGCGAGCAGAGAGAGAGAGATGCGAGCAGAGAGAGAGAGAGATGCGAGCAGAGAGAGAGAGATGCGAGCAGAGAGAGAGAGGCGTGAGCAGAGAGAGAGGTGAGCAGAGAGAGAGAGATGCGAGCAGAGAGAGAGAGATGCGAGCAGAGAGAGAGATGCGAGCAGAGAGAGAGAGAGACGTGAGCAGAGAGAGAGGGACACGAGCAGAGAGAGAGACGTGAGCAGAGAGAGAGACGTGAGCAGAGAGAGAGGGACACGAGCAGAGAGAGAGACGTGAGCAGAGAGAGACGTGAGCAGAGAGAGAGAGACGTGAGCAGAGAGACGTGAGCAGAGAGAGAGAGACGCGAGCAGAGAGAGACGTGAGCAGAGAGAGACGTGAGCAGAGAGAGAGAGGCGTGAGCAGAGAGAGAGAGGTGAGCAGAGAGAGACGTGAGCAGAGAGAGAGAGACGCGAGCAGAGAGAGAGAGCAGAGAGAGACGTGAGCAGAGAGAGAGACGTGAGCAGAAAGAGAGAGACGTGAGCAGAGAGAGAGAGAGGTGAGCAGAGAGAGAGAGAGAGACGCGAGCAGAGAGAGAGAGAGAGGTGAGCAGAGAGAGAGAGACGCGAGCAGAGAGAGAGAGACGCGAGCAGAGAGAGAGAGACGCGAGCAGAGAGAGAGAGATGCGAGCAGAGAGAGAGAGATGCGAGCAGAGAGAGAGAGAGGTGAGCAGAGAGAGAGGGACACGAGCAGAGAGAGAGAGAGATGCGAGCAGAGAGAGAGAGATGCGAGCAGAGAGAGAGAGATGCGAGCAGAGAGAGAGAGACGTGAGCAGAGAGAGAGGGACACGAGCAGAGAGAGAGACGCGAGCAGAGAGAGAGAGACGCGAGCAGAGAGAGAGAGACGTGAGTCCGCGTGTCTATGGTCCGCGCTCGGAGCCCAGACGGCAGTGCGTTCACTGAGCTGTCAGAGCGGGGGTCACAGCAGCTGCTCTCGGGGCCAGAGCGGAGGATGTAACGTAACGTTCGGTTTATCAAAACATATCACAATATTTAACGTATAACACTAGTGAATTTCACCTAGATTTTTTCAGACATTAAAGACAAGATGTTATATAATAATTGTTTAATGAAAAAACAATTTTGCCACAAGCAACCAAAAGCTGTGCCTCAGACAAGAATCGAACCTGGGTTCTCCAGGTCCCTGTATTTAATGCTATCCATTCGGCCAACAAAGCACCTCTGTGCTAGACAGGTTTGCACGCAGTCTTATACCTGAGCGTCTAAGTCGCTGGCAGAGCTAAAGTGGACTTAGCCTGCCACCTTGTGGCGATAAGATGTACTATTTTTCACGCAGCTGCGTGATTCCCGAGAAGCGTGAATGAAGACGACAAAACGGAATGGGACCTACTGTAGACACACACACACACACACAGACACACACACACACAAACACATGACACCCACAGACACACACACACAGACATAGACACACACACACACAGACACACACAAACACACACACACACACACACACACACACACACACACACAGACACAGACACGCAGACGCAGACACACACACACACACACACAGACATAGACACAGACACACACACACATCCCACCGGTCTTGACATCTTACAGACTGGGAGGTCACGGTTGTATTTGGAGACCTCTGCATTTTTGGGGGAGTGTGTAGATAACGATATGAGCTGAAGTAAATCCAACAGTGACGTCTTCTCAGTCTTTAAAAGCTTTTTTATGGTGCTCAGTCATACGTGCCGTGACGGTAAAACTGTCCAAGGCAAGAAATATCACTTAAAGATCGCGACATTATTATCAAAAAATAATGTGCTCTGTCTCCAGTGTTTAGAGCCAGGCACCCCAGACTGCCTCACAAAAGAAGAAAATCATAAAACAAGTTGAAACATAAGTACGTAGAACGGCCTTGACACCAGAATGATTGACAACTAGGAGGGCCAATAGTCTTGATCCTCACCCGCTACGAGAAAATCCTCCTTCACACCTTGAAGTTAAGTATTTTTCATAATAGATATATGAAAATGAGTGTCGTCAACAACATTTGCTCGAGGAAAGGAGCTAGACCAAAGGGGAGGGCCCCCAGCTGTCTATCAATGAATTGAGTAAATTGCGTCCAATCAGAAGCCAGTGGGGGCGGGTCTAACTGGTGCAAGTGTTCGAAAAAACGGCTTCACATTTTTAAGGTAAGAAGAGAGGGACATTATGTTTCAGTCGTCTGCAGCTAAACACAACTGTCAGAGTAGAAGCCTGTCTCACATTTTCAGGAAGACAGTTCTCGATGTTTTAGTCAATTACAAACACTATAACTTCAAAACTACATTCACTCTAATATCTGTTATTACTTTCCCACCTCTACGTTAAGCACTATCAATGTAAAAAGTATAGTCTCATATACGACCGCATTACGACTTCCTGTGGTCTATAGTTTCTTAATTGACCAAAATACTTATTTGTCGTCACATATTTTATTCAAATGACAAAGATTTTTGCAGAAAAGGCACAAATCAGAATCCATGAAGCAAATTAGCCGAAGATTGTGGTGTTCACTTTGATATTCCAGCCGGATCAAACTCAATAATTCACCAGATTTTAGAAAGAGACGGATCAATCCATACATTATTGATATGGTTTTATTGTGATTTTAAATCTTGTGCGATTAGTTAAGGTTTAAGGAATAATACCCAGAGCTTTTATCACATCCCTTTCTCTCGGCTTTGACCAATCGGCCGAGCGTGACTTTAATCAATAAGAATTTCTTTGGTCATAGCTTTAATAACCGTGATTTTTCCATTTGCTCTCTGTGTCAAATGTGTCTGTCATCCCACACCTCCATCCTCCGGGACCCCACCACCTCTTCTCTCTCTCCTCTCTCTCCTCCTCCTCTCTCTTCTCTCTCCTTCTCTCTCATCTCCCTCCTCTCCTTCCTCTCTCTCCTCCTCCTCTCTCTTCTCTCTCCTTCTCTCTCATCTCCCTCCTCTCCTTCCTCTCTCTCTCTCCTCTCCCTCCTCTCTCTCCTTTCCCTTCCCTCTCTCTCCCTCCTCTCTCTCTCCTCTTCTCTCTCTCCTCTCCCTCCTCTCTCTCCTTTCCCTCCCCTCTCTCTCCCTCATCTCTCTCCTCCCTCCTCTCCCTCTCTCCTCTCCCTCCCCTCTTTCTCCTCTCTCTCCTCTCCCTCTCCTCTCTCTCCTCCCTCCCCTCTCTCTCCTCCCCTCCCCCTCCCTCCTCTCCCTCCCCTCTTTCTCCTCTCCCTCCCCCCTCCCTCCTCTCCCTCTCTCTCCTCTCTCTCTCCTCCCTCCCCCCTCTCTCTCCTCTCTCTCCTCTCCCTCCTCTCCCTCTCTCTCTCCTCTCTCTCCTCCCTCCTCTCCCTCCCCTCTTTCTCCTCTCTCTCCTCTCCCTCTCTCTCTCTCTCCTCCCTCCCCCCTCCCTCCTCTCTCTCTCCTCTCCTCTTCCTCTCCCTCTCTCTCCTCTCTCTCTCTCCTCTCCCTCCTCCCTCCCTCCTCTCCCTCCTCTCCCTCTCTCTCCTCTCTCGCTCTCTCCTCCCTCCCCCTCCTCTCCCTCTCTCTCCTCCCTCCCCCCTCCCTCCTCTCCCTCCTCTCTCTCTCTCTCCTCCCTCCTCTCCCTCTCTCTCCTCCCTCCCCCC